CTTCAGGTGAATTGCACATTGTGCACAAATTAAATTAAGTACAGTTGTATGAAAAAGTGATATACTTAATCTGAACACTGATTTTTTTTTTAAAAAAAACATGCACACTCATATTTTACTTATTTGTCATGATTCCATGTGTTAGGAATCAAAGGAATTACTTGCTTTGTTAACTGTATGGGGATATAATTTGCAGTTTGTTTTCAAAAGCTGAATCACTGTTTTCAGATATCATTCCTCTGGCAATGTGTTTTCAATTATCTCCCACCCCTTTCCTCTCAGACTAACCACACAACTTATTTTAACAAGTCATACTAATTTTCTCAGGAAGATGCTTTCTTTAAAAGAACTCTATTCTCCATTCCCAGTAAAGTGGCTGGTTTGAGATACAATGTACCATTTATTTCAAAAGCAAGTATTAAGTTAAAATGCTCCATTTTTTGAGTCATGAAAAGTACAGATCACTGCTGTTACACAAAAAATATTTAAGAGATTCTAAAGATTCCATAAACACGACCATTCTGTAAATATACTTTATTTCACATGCATTCAATATTCTTCAGCAATGGATTGACCATGTGTGACTGAAGGCTTCATTATTCTGGGCAAGAATACATTGGTGAAGCTAATCCCTTATCCTGCAGCAACCGCCTCTCCTCTATTGTCTTTTCAGTGGCTGACAAAGATGTTCTCTTTCAACAAGCCTTCTAAGTGTTAAAAAAACAAAACAAAACTCAGTTGGTATCTGTATAGATTTTACGTTGTTTTAAATTGTGTGTGTGTGTGCAATTGTTTTTAAATTGTTTTTACACATGCAAATACATTAACTGTTTTTGTATGTACAACAGCGCTATATAAGTTTTGAATGTGTTACGAATCACTTTGGGATACCTCATGGGAAGTGATTTATACATGAAAAAAACAAGCTTCCACCAGCCCTGTGAAAGATAGGAAGGATACCAAGCCAATGCTTAGCCCAGTATTGTCGAAACTGATTGAGGAGGCTTTCCCAGACCTGTGTAGCGTCATTAACCCTTCACCTACTAGGCTACCATTGTCTCCCCTTGCAAAGGGCATGGATGAACTGGCCCCCAAGCAACTGTGCTGAATTGCCCACTCCAAGGTTAAGAAAATGAGCCCTGCTGGATCAGGCCAAAGGCCCATCTGGTCCAATACCGTGTTCTCACAGCAGCTAACTAGATGACCACAGGAAGCCCCTAAACAGAAACCGAGAGCAGCAGAGCTCTCTGCACCCGTGACTCCCAGAACTTAGAAGCATACCTCTTCTGACAGTGGAGGTGGAACATTGTAGCTAATAACAATTTATAGTCTTATTTTCCATGAATTTGCCCAATCCTCTTTCCAGTTGCTTCTACCCCAATAATACAAGTTTGTTTCCTTCCTGCAGCCACCTGCACACCCTGGAAAGCTTCTCTGGTGGGTCAAGGAATCCTCACAAATGGCAGATGGGACACAGGGGGCTGCTGGGTGGGGGAAAATTACCAGATTCAGACTTGGATCAAATCTATGCTTCCAGGTGCCATAAGAAAGCTGCAGAGATAGCGTAGGATAGTGTGCACCCCGGAAATGATCTCTTTCAGCTTCTGCCTTCTGGAAAGAAGGTACAAGGTTATAAAGACTAGGACTAGCCGCCTGAGAAACAGTTTCTATCCAAATGCGATTTTGGTTTTAAACGCAGTGTAAGGTAGTCTCTATGGCAGTATATTGTAGTTAATTATGGGGTATCAGAGTTTTTAGGGGGTTAACAAGGCTGGGATAGCTGGGATGACAGGATTGTTGGTTTTTGAATGTCTGATGTAAATTTTTTCAATTTCTTTGTTCTGTATGGGACAATAACAATAAAGATTATCGTATCATATCGTAAGATAAGGAAATCCCTGGAATGCAAGTTTCCCATTCCTTCCCCCAGCAGTTCCCCATGGTCCACACTCCATTCCACACGGTTCCGGCAGTGGGCTGGCATTTTGGGGAGTCATGGATAGGAAACTTTCCTTCCACAAGCTGCCTTAATCTAACTGACCTTAGGAGCCTAACTGATGTGTAGGAACTAGCAGGATGTGATGTGCAATGTCCTCACAACATACGGAGTTTCCTTACATGGACATCATGTGGTGTGGAGATGGGGGAAACTAACAAAAACTCCCTAGATAAAGAAAACTAGACGTAAGGGACAAAGCATTTTTTCTTCCTGACAGGCTTGCTTTCTATGAGTAGTTGAAGACTCAAGTAGAGAAGTGTCTCAGATTGTGGAAAGCCACTTTCCTATAACTGTGGGCTCTTAGGTGCTGCTATAAAGACAAAAAAGAGCGGAAGCCTACGTATCAACATCTGGATGGGGTCTCTTTGGAGAAGATCTGATGTGAATGCCAGGTGTCCAACAGGCACAAGTTGGAGCCTGAGTTTGGCAACTGGCAGCTGTTAGTCACCCTTAAAAGAATCCTGTCTCGGAACTGCACTGTAGCTAACAGGAGAACCACCGATTTACTGTCATGACTTGCAAGATGTGTTCAAGTGCTGTCTTCTCGTTCCCATCAATTCAGATCAGCCAGACATAACATATGTGAGAAATTATTTACATTTTTTTGCTCCAATAAAACAGAGATGATGATGATAGCTGTGCTCTCCCTAGAGGTCCCATGAAGCATTGGTGAGCTCCATTGTTTTCTCTTTTTCCTACAAGGCTGGACTTTGTTACCCTCGCAATGCTTGCCAAAATCCTATGGCTTATTTTTGTTGCTTGAGACTGACCATATGTAGCTTTGATCCCTGCTTAGTAGGTACCTTGGCCACTTGCCAATTTTGGCATCTAACTCCCTTATTTGATTCTTTTCCCACTGTCATCAGCCACCCTGCCCCTTCACACACCCCAGGGCTTTGCTTTGTTTTTTGATATAACAGCGCTTGCAAACAATAAATCTATTTTTACCCTGCTGTTCTTGGCTAGAAGCGAGCAACAGAGAGAGTAAAAATCCCACTGTTTTGATCATCCTGCTTGTAATGATTGCATGACAAAACTTCTACATCCAGCTTAAGTAATATTTCTGTAATAAATAATAAAAAAAATCATGCTGTCTAGAATAATTCAGGAAATCGTACGCTACATTGTTTAACACACACATGCTGTTCTTATTTAATATAATTCATCACATTTTAATGAGCTGGATCCAGGCATAGCTGCATTTAGAGTAAACCCATTGACAGCAATTGGGGCATAAGTTAGTCAAGACTTGTGACTAACTTAAGCATTTATATCTATGCTTGTGTATACACATGCACACAAAAAACATCTTAAAACCATTGACAAGAAAGTGTTCCAAATACTATGATGTATTCCAGAGATATTGTTGTTGTTTAGTCATTTACTCGTGTCCGACTCTTCGTGACCCCATGGACCAGAGCACACCAGGCACTCCTGTCTTCCACTGCCTCCCGCAGTTTGGTCAAACTCATGCTGGTAGCTTCGAGAACACTATCCAACCATCTCGTCCTCTGTCGTCCTCTTCTCCTTGTGCCCTCCATCTTTCCCAACATCAGGGGCTTTTCCAGGGAGTCTTCTCTTCTCATGAGGTGGCCAAAGTACTGGAGCCTCAGCTTCACGATCTGTCCTTCCAGTGAGCACTCAGGGCTGATTTCCTTAAGAATGGATACGTTTGATCTTCTTGCAGTCCATGGGACTCTCAAGAGTCTCCTCCAGCACCATAATTCAAAAGCATCAATTCTTCGGCGATCAGCCTTCTTTATGGTCCAGCCCTCACTTCCATACATCACTACTGGGAAAACCATAGCTTTAACTATACAAACCCATGTCGGCAAGGTGATGTCTCTGCTTTTTAAGATGCTGTCCAGAGATATAACAACATCCAAAAACACTTTCATAGTCCTAGTATCATTTAAAACATCCAAGTCCTCTCAGGTGTTTTGGTACATTTGATTTTGTTTTAAAATGTAATTGTCAACCTGCAGATTTTATAGAATCAAAGTAAGGAACATGTTTACACTAATAAACAGCGAGTTAATATGAAGGTCAGGTGGACTTGCCAAGAAGTAGAAGTCCACCCCCACAATTTCGGGGGCACCACAGGGGACACTGCAACTATTCTTTAGAATGGAGCGAGAGAGGTGTGGTGTGCGTGCGTCGAATTTCAGTGTTGCAGAGTGTGCCGCTGAAATTTGAGAGCTCAAGGTTCGCCACTGACATTACCCTTCCTTAGAAATCACATCCTGCTCTTTACCTCGTCCAAGGTATTGAACTCAGTGCCAATCTTTGAAACACCAAAGACCTGCTGCCACCCAACTCTGAAGCAGATAGGCCAAGGGGCAGCGTTGTTCTGCAATACAGTATCAGTCCTGATGAACAGGCACTCTTAGCGTGCTCAAAAAAATCCCTGCTTTTTTGATATCACCTGCTCCCAGATCACAGATCTCTCACTATGAAAGTGCTCCAAAGTCAAGTCTTAGTGAACCCTGCTGGGAATTTTATACTCTTAAGTCATGTCTTTTTGGTCCTTATCGCTCTTCTCTTCTCGTAGTTCTTAATGGCGTGAGCAGCGCTTAAAGAGGCTCTGTGACCGCCACCTACTGGAAAAGGAACTAAATATTGCTTAAACAGACTCCCCACCACCACATATACTGCGCGCACCCTCTGTCTGCTCCAGTTTAAAATTCAGAACGGTTGCAACCTTCCTTACTAGACGGCAATCTAAGGAATGAGTCCCACCTAACTCTGCATGGCATGATCCAGCTATTCGTCAACCCCTCGTGGCTTCCGCGGTGGAGAGCGCAGCCTGGCCCTCTCTCTTGCCTTTTCTGGGATGCGCTTATCCCCCAGCTGCGTTACCTGGCGAAGGATGCTGAGGCTGCCTGAGCATCCGCAGCATCAGCATCACGACGCCGACCCAGCGAACTCCCGGCAGCCCCTCTCGGCCAATGAGCGCCGCGGCTGGCGACGGCGACTCCTCGGATTGGCTGAGGCGGGCGCGCTGCCTCCGCTCTCTCCGGGCCTCGGTTCCGGCGCGGGTTTCTGTGCGGCGACGGCAGCGGCGATGGCTGGCCGCGGCCGCGGGGGGAGGAGACGGCGCTGCGGGCGACCTTGAGGAAGCAGCGGCCATGGGCAACATGCCGTCGGCGCTGAAGCACTGCCTCAGCTACCAGCATCTCCTCAAGGAGCAGCTGTGGATCGGAGAAGCGGCGCCGCAGCCCACGGCGCTGCAGCATCCCGGGCAGGTACCTGAGCGCCACGCAGGGACGGGGTCGGCGGTGATGTAGGGCAGCAGGTGCCCTCACCTCTCCACCCCTGCTTCTTAGGGGGACCCACCCGATCCCTGACCCTGACCACCACTGGGTTAGTGGGAAAGCCCCCTTGGGTGGTTTAGGCCCCCGTCAAGTGGGTGGGGGTCCCTACTTACTTTGGACTTGGAGGTGCCTCCTCTATATACATATATATAATTAAATTTCCACAAATGTCACATAAGATTGCATAATACATTTTTCTTTTGTTTTATTGACTTCCCATCCCATTTTCCATGGTGGTTTTTGTTTATTCACCCTGTCTTCATGCTTTAATATCATAACCATTATACAATAATCTCTCATTCTTTCTGTTGCTCATTGTTCAAATCCTGCTTGTGAATTCATCATACTATAATATTTGTTTAAATAGTCTAAAAAGGCTTCCATTCTTCCATAAAACAGACATCATTAAGTTCTCTTGTTTTAGCTGTTAGTTTTGCTTTCAAACACTCACCTGTGCTTTCCCTCTGGGCAGTGCAGTTGTTGAAACTGCTCTCCCTTGGATCGCATGGTAGCTCCTTGCTTTGCCACCCAGTAAGGGTTGAGGAAGCAGAGTTGGAAGTGGCCACTTGCTGCCCATCTGTTCACTTGCCAGTCTCTCTGGGCAGCAGCAGCTTGAATTGGGGACCAGCAGGTCCAGTCTTCACTGGTGTGCCACCAAGACAGAGAGATTGAGATGAGCAAGCAAGCAGAGGCAGCAACCATAACCACTGCATCCCCTTGCCTTCTGGGTCAGGTGTGGGGAACTTGTGGCTGTCCAGATGTTGTGGGCCTCCAGCTCCCATCAGCCACAGCCAGCATGACCATATGTCAAGGAGATGTAGTCTGGCAAGATCTGGAGGGCATCAGGTTGGCACATGCACCTGTCAAAATCTCTAATGCAGTTTCCCAAGTGCAAGCTGGATGTGAGGCATTTGAAGGTAAATGGGCATAGTTTGGGGAAAATGGACTCACAGGCCAAATTGGGACTTGTGCCAGGCCAGATTTGGCCTATGGGCCAGAGGTCACTACTCTCGTTTGATAGCTAGCCCTCTTTTGAGTTGAGCAGGACCATGTATCCGAAAGCAGTCAGGAAGCCACACTTCCTGACTCATCTCTGAGAGACAACTATAATTTATACTTTCCTTTTATCTCTTGCACTGTGCAGGTAGCTAAAGCCCAGGGTAGTCATTATCCACCCTGCCCCCGGTGTGTTGTCACCTCTTATAATGTCAGTAAAGCCACTTTGACAGCTCCCCCCACAAATTAGCTAATGGGACAGGATTGCCATATGGTGTGGATCATTATTTCTGCCTTATTGAATATTCTTCAGTATGAACTTTGTGATACAGGAAACATCTGTTGAAAAATCCAAGCCACCGGTTACAAAGGTCTAAACCTTGGGTGGGCAGAAGTGCATAGCTTTTGGGATTGGAAACATTTGAGTTGTGTAGAAAGGGGTATATCGACTGACATAAAGTTGCAAAAAACTTTACCCCAAAGTCCTCTCCCTTTTCACAAGCAGATATAAGGCAGCAGGTATGCACTGGCTAGGTATAAGGTAAAGGTAAAGGGACCCCTGAACATTAGGTCCAGTCGTGACCGACTCTGGGGTTGCGGCGCTAATCTCGCTTTATTGGCCGAGGGAGCTGGCGTACAGTCCGGGTCATGTGGCCAGCATGACTATGCCGCTTCTGGTGAACCAGAGCAGCGCATGGAAACGCCGTTTACCTTCCTGCCGGAGCGGTACCTATTTATCTACTTGCACTTTGACATGCTTTCGAACTGCTAGGTTGGCAGGAGCAGGGACCGAACAACGGGAGCTCACCCCGTCGCGGGGATTTGAACCGCCGACCTTCTGATTGGCAAGTCCTAGGCTCTGTGGTTTAACCCACCGCGCCACCTGCGTCCCATGGCTAGGTATAGAGAGGATGGTTTTAAGGTTGAGAGCCAACAAGTTGAAGCTCAATCCAGGTAAGATGGAGACACTGTTAGTGGGTGGTTTCCTAGACTGGATGGATGAGAGATTGCCTGCTCTTGATGGAGTTACACTCCCTCTGAAGGAGTGGGCATGTAGCTTGGGGGTACTTGTGGATTCTTTGCTGTTGTTTGAGGCTCAAGTGGCTTCAGTGGTGCGGACTCCACAAAAAAGAGAATTTAGAGAACATTATGCAAAGTGACTTTTCTGGAGGGACAGAAAGTGAGGAAAAGAATAATCTAGAAATATTATCAGAAAAAAATGTATTTTGGACATTATGGCTCGGCTCTGTAATGGACTGTTTTGACACACATTGAGTCTTTACATTTTTAGGGTACCTTTAAAGCACTTTAGAGGCACAGCATATATAGATATATAGATTGTGTGTGTGTGAACTTGCCCTTAGAAGATCTGCAGAAGGTTTTCTTTGGTACACAAGGAAGTAAAACGGAGATAAGCCAAGCTCTAAACATCAGAGGAAAATCTGCTTCCTCTTATGTACACATTCCTGATGAGTTTCAGTCCTTGGAGGACTTTAATTTTCCAAATTAAGTAGTTTCCAAATTGGCAAATATCCCTTGGAGCGTTCTATTATTTCAGAAGTGTTTTGATCTAATGGATTTTAGAAGCCATTATTACTTCTGGTAATCAGTTTATTACCATTAGATGTCCTTAAAAAGTATGGTTTTAATTTTAAGGTTGCTAAGAGTCTTAGATCTTTGGAACCATTTTATTGCTGTGTATTTTCCATCATGTTTTCATTCTCAGGCTGGCTACTTGCTATCTGTCCCCACATATTTATTTTTCTCTTTCTCTTCTTGTGTATACTCTTGTAGTACTTCCATCATTGTTACTGTTGTTGGTCCATCCCATGCTCAGCCTTTCCTGAGCCAGGTGGAATGTGTGTCATCCTCATGCTAGTGACACCACCATCCGAATCCACAAATGACTAATTTCTGTGATTTTGTTTAAAAATAGACATTGAATAGCTAGGGGGACAAGATGGAACCTTGCAGAAACCCACTGGAAAAGTTCCATGGGGCTGAGCAGAAGTCCCTTAACACTACTTTCTGGGAGTGGTCTTGTAGGAAGGAGCCGAACCACTGTAACCCAATGTCCCTGTCTGGAAACTCACAGTGCTGCTCTGTATGGACCCCATAGTCAATGCTACTGAAAGTTGTGGGGAGATCTAGGAGAATCAACAGGGTGACACATTCTCCCATTTATTTCCCGATAATGGTAATCAGGGTGACCAAGTGGTGTGTCAGTGCTGAAGCCAGATGGAAATGGGTCTACGTAACTGCTGCATCCAGGACCATCTACTGCTGGCTGTCCACCACTCTCTCAATCACTTTGCCCAGGAAAGGGACATTCATGGTAGGGTAGTAGTTGTCCATTTACCCCAGAGGCCAAGGAAGGGGCAGCACTACCCCTCCTGCAATGAGGCATTAATCGCTTCCTTGACCCACCCCCTTGACCTTACAAGCCGTGATGGGCAAAGATGATAGGACCAGAAGCAGCCGTCTTGCACCAAGTCAGACATTTGGACCATCTAGTTCAGTATTGTCTACTTGGATTGGCAACGGTTCTCCAGGGCTTCTGGCAGCCTTGCCTGTGGATGCCAGGGATTGGACCTGCAACCTTCTGCATGCAAAGCAGATGCTGTACCTTGAGCGATGGTCCTTCCCCATGAGGTGGATCTTCTGTTGATTTCCTTGAATGCCAGATCTCACATCCCAGGAAGTGATTAGCAGGCAGCTGCTTGTGCTTGTTTGTATCTGCATGTGGGTGTCTCAAGTTTGTTTGCTTTATTCACTTACAGTTGGGATAAGTTTAAAGAAGGCTGTAATTCCATGATTAAAGGTCACTGGCATTTTTCTGTTATAAACCTCTATTTTCATCAATTTATAACTAAGCATGCGTGTGTATGTGTGGAGGGGAATGTTTTCATGGAAGTATTTGGCAAACAACATGATCACAGTCCCTGGTAGTGCTTTTCTCTCTTGCTCAAATGAGGTAGCAGAAGAGGGGTATGGAACTGAAATTTACTTTCCGATTTACATGGCAGTACTTTTTTTTATTTTGGGGGAGGGTGGTAATGGCTGGTTTTACAAGCTGTTTGTTCTTCTTTGGCAACACCTGATAAATGGAAAATGCTTGAGGCTCTTAGGCTTTCATGTAAACTGTTTCCTTGTTGATATTCAACATAATTTAGCCATAGTGCTCACTTCACTTCACAGAGCTAATACCTAATTCAATAACCAGTCATTATCTTTAATCATCAGACATGCATTTTTGCTGGATCAAATTTAGGAAGAAATGTTACATTGACAGCCCATCAGACAACAGCTTTGTGCAGAAACTGCCAAATTAAGACCTTTTCTTAAAAGAAATTTCCTCTAGCTTTTAATTTTCATATTTAAATTCTGGCTTAAGTTTAAATGCGATTTTTAAAATTTAACTTCTGGTTGACGGGAGTGATTTTTCCTCAGGTTTGTTCTCTATTTTTGCCAATTGCACATTTTGATGTTTATGTATTTAAATTTTGAGTGCCGCTTTGAGCTTTTCAAGGAACAGAGGTTATTTACTATTGTGTAAGAAATTCCTGCTATTCTGATCCTACAGGCACTAGTCTGTTACACCCCGGTTTCCTGAGCAGTGAGAAGTTCAGGGGCAGCACAGCAAGATTAGAGGTTGTCTTCAATCTAGAACTTGAGTAGACCCATTAAATTAATGGAACTAGAAGAAGAAGAGTTTGGATTTGATATCCTGCTTTATCACTACCCGAAGGAGTCTCAAAGCGGCTAACATTCTCCTTTCCCTCCCTCCCTTACAACACTCTGTGAGGTGAGTGGGGCTGAGAGACTTCAGAGAAGTGTGACTAGCCCAAGGTCACCCAGCAGCTGCATGTGGAGAAGCGGAGACGCGAACCCGGTTCACCAGATTACGAGACTACCGCTCTTAACCACTACACCACACTGGCTCCACCATTTTGATTCCACTGCAGATCCACTCCATTTAAGAATATCCAACACACATTAAAAGCACATGGATTCCTCTAATGAATTCTGGGAACTGTATTTGCTTCTCAGAGGGCTCCAGTTCTTAGCACCATTAAACTAAAGTTCCCATAATTCTTTAAAGTCATGTGCTTTAAATGTCCATTAGATATACAGCATGTGTTGTTTCTCAGTGGGTCTACTCTGGGTAGGACTACCATTGGATACAACCATTGGATGAGAGAATATTGGGTATATTTTTTATTTATAGGTTGTAGTTTAGCAGCATCTGGAATGCATCACATTGGTGACCCCCTACAATATGCAATAACATGTTCCTGACCTTTGACTCCACTTGTACACGCAGGTTTACGGGTGTGTGCCTGTGCCAGTCAATGTGACAAGATTTGGCTCATAACGGTTGAAAATTATTATGACAATAAAAGCTTTATGCACGTTTCGAACGCATCCTGTTTAAGGTATGATACGTTTAGCACACTTCTGATCCTCTTGCTTCTTTCACAGATGTGTTTATATCCCGAATGTGGCATTTGCCTTGTAAGCGCAATTATCTGATAATCATGGAAAACCTCAAAATGCAATGCCCTTTTGTCAGGAGGGCTTCCACTTATAAGAAAAAGCACTTTCTGAAAGGGGTGGGAGATGTTATTTAGCAGATGTGAAAGTTTTGCCTTTATATTTAAATAAAATAGGTTTATGTTCTCCGCAAGTGTGGGCCTAGCTTGGTCCAAGGAAGGTTAAGCCTGCCAGATGCCGTATGTGATCAGAGATGTTGTGCAGCTGTTTCCCATTTCTTTTTACACTGCTCACATAAATGCATAGTAACTGTACTGGATTTTTTTTAAAACTGTACTTTAGCAGTCATTGAAGGATGTTACTACATGGGATTTAATTTAACTTGCAAAGCAGTTTGTGGCAAGGGAGGTGACACCCACGATGGTGGATGCGAGAGATATACCCAAAGGCACAGCATTGTGAGGCTCATTTCCCCTTCAGATTCTAGAGAGAAAATTTTAAGACACCTGCCCCTCCTACTGCCCCCCCCCCCAGTGTGAGCCATGTCAAAATATGTGCCTTGGGTAAACAATGATGCATTTCGTTGTGCACATTTCGAGTTCCAGTTGTGGAAGATTTTGCAGTCAAACCTAACAGTGCATGCGTATGCTTTTTTAGTAAATGAAGGGGGTTAAGGATCATAGAGCTGTGAATTGCTAAAGAAGGCTAGGTCATGCTCCCTCACTTTTGGGGAGGTAGGAAGTAAGGCTTCCTTCCTTCCTTCCTTCCTTCCTTCCTTCCTTCCTTCCTTCCTTCCTCTCTCTCTCTCTCTCTCTCTCTCTCCTCTTCACTTTAAACCACGTAACTGAGCAGACATCTGAGGCTGGGGCTCCAGACTCAGACCACATATTTGAGACCAACTAATGTATTTTGGGACGCGGGTGGCGCTGTGGGTAAAAGCCTCAGTGCCTAGGACTTGCCGATCGAGAGGTCGGCGGTTCGAATCCCCGCGGCGGGGTGCGCTCCCGTCGTTCGGTCCCAGCGCCTGCCAACCTAGCAGTTTGAAAGCACCCCTGGGTGCAAGTAGATAAATAGGGACTGCTGACCAGCGGGAAGCTAAACGGCATTTCCGTGTGCTGCGCTGGCTCGCCAGATGCAGCTTGTCACGCTGGCCACGTGACCCGGAAGTGTCTGCGGACAGCGCTGGCTCCCGGCCTATAGAGTGAGATGAGCGCACAACCCTAGAGTCTGGCAAGACTGGCCCGTACGGGCAGGGGTACCTTTACCTTTACCTTAATGTATTTTGTAACCAGGAGCACCTTCCCTGTGTTGTTACTGCTGTAGGGTTGAACAATGCTCTGATTGTTGCTCTGATTGAGCCAGTGTGGTGTAGTGGTTAAGAGCGGTAGTCACGTAATCTGGGTAACCGGGTTCGCGTCTCCGCTCCTCCACATGCAGCTGCTGGGTGACCTTGGGCCAGTCACATTTCTTTGAAGTCTCTCAGCCCCACTCACCTCACAGAGTGTTTGTTGTGGGGGAGGAAGGGAAAGGAGATTGTTAGCCGCTTTGAGACTCCTGAAGGGGAGTGAAAGGCGGGATATCAAATCCAAACTCTTCTTCTTCTTCTTCTTCTATTGTAAGTAAAGCATTTAAACTTACTTAAGGTTGTGGCCTATTCACTCGGAGAAGGGTAGAGGTGGGGGAGCACATTTGAGAGCACTTAATACTGGGACATTTTGAGCTCCAAAAACCTAAATTTTCAGCACTTTGCAAACTCTGCACATATTTCTGTTTTAAACTCTGCTGGGGTTTTTTTCGGCTAGAGAGTGAGTCTCTTTTGAATTTCAGGCAGTCAGCAGTTTATTCTTTTGTAGTTTCCCACACACGTGGGACTTCAGGATTAACTAAGATTCATTCCCCAGTTATTCCCCAACGCTTGTCAGTGTCCTCTCCTACAGAAATCAGTTCCTGACTCCTACCCAGGCACCTGTCCTGCAAGTCTTGTCTTCTGTCTGCACAAATCTTCCCCTCCTCATTGATACTTCCATGGTTAATTGGGACTTAATGAAATGAAGGTCATAGTTAAGAAGGCATAGACCTTTTAAATGGCTAGAGCTTCAGATATTGAAGCAAGAACCTTATGTTTCACCATGCTGCAGCAACTTTTACAGTCTGCTTGCTCATGTTGCTCTGGTCTAGGAGAGGGAAGGGAACCTGTGGTCCTCCACATGCTGAACTACAACTCCCTTCATTTGTGACCTTTTGAATTTAGCATACTGGCTTTGCATACTGAACTAGGCTTGATTATTTGTGGTAATTACTTCACAATAGCTTAATTCTACCCTATGGCTTTTTGAATTCTTTGGATAGCCTTATTAGTCAAATCTGAAATCTTTACTTGTCATAGGCCCATCTTCGTTTTCTTTCTGAATTTCCCAAGTTTTAGTTTCTCTCTCCCCCACCCCTTCCCAATTGGATTCTGTCTAAGGCAGAGTTTCCCAAACTTCAGTCTCCAGCTGTTTTTGGACTACAACTCCCACCATCCCTAGGTAGCAGGACCAGTGGTCAGGGATGATGGGGATTGTAGTCCAAAAACAGCTGAAGACCCAAGTATGGGAAACTCTGATATAAGGCAAGCTGTGATCCTCCAGATGTCCCTGGACTACAACTTCCTGCATTGACTGCTGTCTGGGGCCTATGGGACATAATCTGAAGGACTTCAAGTTCTGAACCTCTGGTCTAAGGCCATGGTTGAAAATGGGTTTTTTCTGAAGGGACGTTTAAGGAAAGGAATGATAGTGGGGTGTTAATGGCCAACCCCCACTTCTCAAAGTAGCCTGACAACAAGACAAATGGTCATAGGCAAGCATCCCCTCTAGATTGGTAACTCTGGAGCAGATTTGCCACAGGTGCTGCCAGTCACCAAGCCTTAGGTACACAGAAGCTGCCTTGCAGAGGTAGACCATTGGTCCATCTAGCTCACTGTTGTCTACATTGGCTGGCAACATCTTTCCAAAGTTTCAGATAGGGGTCTCTAACAGGAGATACCAGGGATTGAACCTGGGGCATTCTGCATGCAAAGCAGTTGGTTTTAGATAGGAATAATAATAATAATAATAATAATAATAATAATAATAATAATAAGTTGTTCACAAATATATGTTTTGGCTGTGTAAACTTTATTTTTGGAGGAGGTATGATCTATCACATGTTTCCTGATAAATATCTACTCTTTAATCCTAACACTGTGGGAACACCTTGTGGTTATTATTGGTGGTTTGAGAAGCACTCTGCACATATTCTGAGATTTTTTTCTTTTTTATAACTTGCCTACTCCTGGACTCATCCCTAGTACCTCAGGTTACATACGCTTCAGGTTACATATGCTTCAGGTTACAGACTCCGCTAACCCAGAAATAGTGCTTCAGGTTAAGAACTTTGCTTCAGGATAAGAACAGAAATCGGGCTCCGGTGGTGCAGCGGCAGCAGGAGGCCCCATTAGCTAAAGTGGTGCTTCAGGTTAAAAACAGTTTCAGGTTAAGAACAGACCTCCGGAACGAATTCAGTACTTGAAACAAAACTCTTTGGGGCAGTGCCCCAGAGTGGGAGCCCTAGCACAAATTATCTTTTATTTATTTACACACTTTTCTGTTTCAGGAACTGCTCACAAGTGGATTTCCTGAATTTGTTAAAATAGTAGAAGTTGGGCCTAGAGATGGATTGCAGAATGAAAAGGTAAGTGGACAATGTGAGTTGAAGTGCTGAGTTACGCATGAAAGCCAGGAAGTTTAAAGCATGAAATGGATCTTCTGAAATACGTATGACTGAAGTGCTTCAGTGTGTGCATGAACTTTGGTTTCAAACGCACACAAACACATGTGTAGTTAATTGATTATGGAGGGCTTTTAATATCTTTCTGCAGCATCTCTACAGCAGGCGGGGGGGAAGCTGTAGCCAGGAGCAATTGGCAGGCAGCAGGGGCCACCACAGACCTGGCTTCCCAGCACATTCATTGTTACCATGTACCTGGATGTTGCGAGGGCAGCGTGGCAACAAAGTTGGGGGCAGGGGCACTGCTGGTGTGCTCACATTGCCCTGACCTCCCCACCTCCCTGTCATACTCATATCCCTGTAGGTGTGCCAATTTGCTTTTGCCTGAAAAAAAAAATACCACCCGTCTGCAGTATCTGCCATTTTCATTTTAGAGCGTTAAAAATACCTGTTATTGTTGTTCAAAACGTTTTTGCCACATGCTACATTTTGTACCAATACCAGTCTCCCCCTTACTTTCCCACAGGCTATAGTCCCTACAGATGTCAAAATTGAATTCATCAACCGACTTTCCAAAACAGGCTTGCCTGTCATAGAAGTGACGAGCTTTGTTTCTTCGAAATGGGTACCTCAGGTAGGTAAATTGAAAAATGCATCGTACAGAAGGATCCAGCATTTTTATGCTATGTAGGTTTCCCATAGCAGGACTGTCTTTCTGAACCATCACCCCCCCTACACCTTATGCCTTATACCTGCTAGTCACCTCCCACCTGACTTTGCCCTGCCTTGTCCACACTTGGCACTCAGGACAGAGGAACGTAGCAGCTGCTTTATGCCAAGTCAGAAGAAGAAGAAGAAGAAGAAGAGTTTGAATTTGCTATCCCACTTTATCACTACCCGAAGGAGTGGCTAACATTCTCCTTTCCCTTCCTCCCCCACAACAAACACTCTGTGAGGTGAGTGGGGCAGAGAGACTTCAGAGAAGTGTGACTAGACCAAGGTCACCCAGCGGCTGCATGTGGAGGAGCGGAGACGTGAACCCAGTTCACCAGATTACGAGTCCACTGCTCTTAACCGCTACACCACACTGGCTCAATTGGTCCATCATTACGTGCAGTGTAAATTAATAACACAGACTCTTCTTCGGTAAAAGAATAAAAGCTTTACTGAGTTAAAATGAACTTGTTTGCAAATTACAGCATGGTGAACAGAAGATTAAGCTAGCCTCAGAGCATACACGGAGTTATTGAGTCACACATTACGCATCAACAGTCTCCACTGAGCACAAGCTTCACAGAGCACAGGCTCCACCACTCACAGACACACAGACTGAGTCTGCCTGCAAGCAGATACAGTCAAACCTCATTCTGCATCTGCTTCCACTTGTGTCCACTTCGGCGAACATCCACAGCAAACCCAGAAGTACCAGAACGGGTTACTTCCAGGTTTGCTGCTTGCGCATGCACAGTAGCGCTAAATCGCGCTTCGATGTGCGTCATTTCGGCTTGTGGGCGGGCCTCCGGAATGGATCCCGTCCGCAAAACGAGGTTTGACTGTACTTATACAGAGAATGAGTCATCCTCAAGATGAGTCACAGTGATTCAGCATGCTAAATGATTCTGCAGCTTTTCAGCATTTCACAACATTTCTAGACTCCTTTACTGCTTCCGCTCTCAAATACCTTTGTCACATGACACATCAAGCTCAGTCTTGTTTACGCTGACCAGCAGTGGTCCTTTAGCATTCTACATGGGAGTGTCTCCCAGCTCTACCTGCAGTTGATGGGCATTAAACTCAGGGTCTTCTGCTGGCACGACACCACTGTTGTCATTCCATATTTCTACGTGGAGCCTCTAGTGCTCAGTTGATGTCAAATCTGACATTTTACTATTGTAGCAACAAGGGAGCAGAGCCTGGTTTAAATCAGCTGGCCCAATGAGTTGGAATAAGAATTAAACGTTCATTCAGTGGAGGTGCAAAAGCAATCAGCCACTGTGGATATCAAATCCATCTGTCTTCAGTAAGCTTATAATAGCAAGTAATTGACCAAAGTGATCCTCAATATACCAAAAGCCTTCATTTATTTCGGACAATTTCCTGGATTGAATGGGGCTTGGCAGCCCTTTCCGTATCAATAATGTTAATTGGGTGAAACAGAAATATTCCTGGTGTTGCACTTTGCTGGGAAGAGCCTAGTATTAGTAGTGTGTGTCATGCCACAGAGAGATTCTGTGTTAGTTTCCTGTCCTCACTCCTCATGAGATTAATCTATAGAGTAAATGTTGATTTTTATCATAAAGTTACCAAGCAATGAATGGCCTTTGAGATAGGTAGGTCTGTGTCTGTTAACTATATTAGGATCCCAGAATGGGTTTGAATTTAGGTAGTTTGTTGGTGAAGATTGTGGCCTGAATTTGGTGTCTCAGTTACTTAATTGGCGCAGTTTGACAGCTGCGTCAGTCAATGCAGAGCTAAAATGCAAGCTGCACCTGTACCCCAACTCTTTCCTCGCTGTGCCAAATTTGAAGAAAAAGAGACTTTAAAATTTTGTATGTAAAGCTACCAGGGCAATTTGCCTTTCAGATGGAAATGCCTACATCTGTCTTTCTAATAATGAAGGCTTTGCAGACCACCAGTTTTTCACTACACTGATGGAGCTTGAACTTTTATTACTGCAAAGGTGTCTCTGGTGTGTTGCTCCCATGAGGGATATTCTACCTACCCAAATATTCCTAAAATGGGGGAAATATATGGGAGTTCCATGAGTTCCATTTCCTGGCATACAGTTAGGTCAGTTGCTCTACTCTTAAAACTTTAATACAGAACTTGGTTTGGACAAAACAAGGCCACAGTCCAAATGGGGATGACTAGCAGGCCTAAATAGTCCTGCAGAATAGAAGTTATCTACCGATGCTTTAATAAAAAGCCCGAATAATCTTCAAAACCCAGACACAACATGAAAGTGGGCAGGTGGGGATGGCGGTAAAGCAAGTGGTTACTTTGTCCCATCTAAAAGCCTAAGATACTTCTTCCTGACCTCAGATGCAGGAAGCTACAGCCGACAAGGCCAAGAAAGTCCTACTGAAAGCAGAGAATATGACAGATCCAGCCCCAGACTTTGCAGCAACTATGCAGACCTCTGAAAGCATATTCGTGATTTTAGCTGATGCCATGGTAATCTATTTTAAATTAAAAGAACTCATCTCAGTGCCCTCCTGCCTGAGATGAAAGCCACCTTAAAAGAGACAGCTGCTGCTGCTGCATACTGCACTCTAGAGCTCAATCTCACTTTTCAGAATGGAGGCCAAGAACGGCAAATATCAGGTGAAAGTTGGACCTGGAGAGTTTAAGTTGATCCAAAACGTTTTTTTTTTTTTTTTGCATTTTAGGGGGTTGAGGGAGGGAGAACAGGATCTGGAATCATTCTTGTTCACCTGGTTATTTAAACCACTGCCGCCAGAAGATGGATAGAGTGCCGCTTGTAGAAAAAGCCCCACCCCATTAAGCCAAACCAGTGTCTACAGGGCTCTGTTGCGAAATTATAACATGATTGCACAAAGGAGGACATTCTCAGCGACTGGTTTCCTTTCATGAGGTTCCCATCCAAGTAGTTCAAGATTTATTGCCTAATACCCTGAACTGCAAACAATGGATGAAACCAATCACTGGGAAGCCTAACGGGAGGAACAGCTGGTGAAGAGCAGATCAGGCCGCTCTGGGCAGCGCAGGAGGGGCCATGCAGCGTTGTCAGACGTTTGCAATGAGGGATCATGGGGCTGGCAAGCCCTTTCACCCCTCCAGCTATAAAGCATGATGACTCAGAACAGTTCAGGAGAAAATCTGGTCTTAGCTTGAAATCTTGGTTGTATGCAGTGCTTAAAACAGTTTTCAGCTGGCATAGGCAAACCCGGCCCTCCAGATGTTTTGGGACTACAAATCCCATCATCCCTGACCACTGGTCCTGTTCGCTAGGGATCATGGGAGTTGTAGTCCCAAAACATCTGGAGGGCCGAGTTTGCCTATGCCTGGTTTTCAGGAAGAGCTAATCAACCCCTACAGCACACATGCAGTGATCCCAATCAACAACATCACGCCTTCACTATCTGAAAAAGGGTGGGGGCGGAATTGCATACCCTCTAACATGTCCGGGTCAAAAACTGGAATGCACGTTTTCCAGGCCATGCTCCTGGGTGAGTGACCCATGCAAGACCACGGCCAAAGCACTTTTGGGGGGCAAGATTGTGGTGCCCCAAATGACCACCATGCTCTTGCGTGACAAAACGGGGTGTTTTCCCGGGACAGTTGAGGGGTATGGCATTGTATTCATGCATCTCTGTCATAATGTATAGTTGTATAGTTTGGCCCACACAAAGGAGGGAAATCTGCCAAACCTGATGAACTGTCTTGCTATCTTATGTTCCCCATATTTTCCTAGAAGCTCACACTAAAAACTCTGTCTAGCTCACTACGCTAGAATAAATTACTCCAGCTCATGTTGTACTCCATCTTTCCCCAACCTGGTGCCCTCCAGCTGTTTTTTTACTACAGCTCCCACTTTTCCAGATCATTGGCAGGGGCTGATGGGTGTTGGAGTCCACAAACATCTGGAGGGCACCAGGTCAGGGAAAGCTGAATCAGAACAGAGGACAAGGTTGTTCCTTCAAGGAATATCTACAATCTAAAGCAACCATATACCTCCCTTTTCATTCCCCCCCCCCGATTTTCTAATTTTTGGAAATGTGTTTTTCATTTCTTCCTTTTCCTGTGAGCCCTTTTGGGTAGCAAATTTGGCCTGGGCTTTTTTGGATGTTGGGAGAGGGGATTTTATTCCCATTTCAAGCCTGAGTGTTTTGTTTGAATGGCTTAGTTGATATTTAGATTACATTCTGTTTATATGCCATGGCCATGTTAACTTGGAGATGGAGTTCAAAATTCTTAGCGCACTTTATTTTCTCTGGTCCTGAGAATAGATTGACTAGTTATGTTTCCATCTCCTTTCTGTCTGTCTGCCTTGCATTTTAAAGCCCTTTTACCATTTCCCTGCTAATGTTTTGTTTGGCAGAGACCTTCTGACTAGAAAAAGCCAGAAAAAGTAGGGGGGGGGGAGTTCTGCAGTAGCAAAGGTGCCATCTAAAACAGGATCCCACACCTATAATCGAAATCGCCAAGAATGATAAAGGGCTGCCATTGAAAGGCTTATTGCTTAAGTATCCTGTTGCACTTTGAAAGTTAATTACCTAAATGTTAAAAGTACATGTTAAAGTAAGACTCTGCTTACAAGGAAAATATTGAGGGGACAAATACATTATATAAACCTTATTTGCAATGATTAAGTTTCATGGAGCTTGAATTGCACCTTCCCTTTAGCCTGTTAATTGTATTTTCAGTTACGCTGTAAAAAGTGCAGGATTTTGTCACATTGGTGTACCATTACGTTAACTATTTGGTTTCAAAGGTTTTCCTTAGCCTAGGAAGTGTGGGCAACATTCTTTGTTTAATTAAGGGATTAAAGGTTTGGGAAGAAGAAGGCAGGGTTCATTTCTGTGATTATTTACTTACCCCACTTCAGTCCTGCTTTCTTAGAATGCAAGTAGATACCCTGCCAGGTAGCAATAATATAATACCAATCCTATAAAGCATTAGAAATATTTAAAACAACAGGAACAGTGCAATCCTATACATGGCTACTCAGAAGCAAGCTCCGTTGAATCCGGTACATCTAAGGCTGTGTATATACGATGCCTTCAAAACACACTTTAAGCACATTCTCCTCCACCCCCCTCAAAGAATTCTGGGCATTGTGGTTTGTTAAGGGTTGCTGGGACTTGTAACTCTGTGAGGGATGAACTACAGTGCCCAGAATTCTCAGAGGGTCGGAATGTGCTTTATAGTGTGTTTGCAGCCCTGCTTTCAAATAAGTGAACATAGGATTGTAGCCTGGAAATATTAGGTTACAAGGGTTCTATAGGCTTGGGGGGGGGATTGGGGTTTTCTACAGAAATGGTAAATCCAGATTAAATAGGACATAATATGGGGTGGCATTTTGATGAGGATGATGTCATGAGCCTTTTAAAATGCCACATTTATTCACCTCCCTACAATGACGAAAGGGATCAGCTTCTCTGAGCACACAATATGCTGCTATGCAGAAGTGCCCAAAGTCTCTTAACAGTGAAGTAATAATAATAATAATAATAATAACAATAACAACAACAATAAATAATAATAATAAGAAGAAGAAGAAGAAGCAGCATGCATAATCTTTTCTCCCCCATGGCTTTGAAATGCAAAAAGAAGAAGAAGAAGAAGAAGACTAGATGATGCCATTAAATAAGTGATTTTATTCCTTTAAAAAACTTTTTTAAAAAATTAAAAAATGCTATTGTTTTTACACTAAACATAGGTACCCAGAGATCCAAACAATCCAGTCCTTTGCATAACGGGAGGGGGGCAAAATTGGACATGGAAGTTTAGTCCATTTTTGTGCAAAGATCACTTCTATGTGACTTCTTGTGAAATGAACAAAGTTTTACATTATTGATATTTCATTGTGTTCAGTCCTGTGTTTCTACGTCATTTTTTAAAAAAAACCTGGTTCAGTTACCTTGTCAGTAACCAATGAATAAGTATCTGATACTGTCATATGACTTTAAGAAACTAAAGCTACATTTTGTCTTTTAAGATGGCTGATCACACAGAAGTCATGAGAGGAATAGAATGCTATCCTGGAGTCCGATATCCAGTCCTTACCCCTAATCTTCAAGGCTTCCATTCTGCTGTATGTATACTGCATGGGATTATCTTTCAGTGAAGCTCCAGGCTCTTAAACATATTTAGCTATTTTCATCAGAAGTCAAGATTGCATGATCTAACCCTATCTGTGACATAAATTAGGTTACAAGAGGTCTGGAGGGTGTCAACATTAGAGCAGGCCTTCTCTGTGGTGGCTCCCTGCTTGTGGAATGCTCTCCCCAGGGAAGCTAACCTGGTGCCTTCATTTAGGTGCCAGGCAACAACCTTTCTCTGTAACAGGCCTTCAACCTGATAGAACATTCTGTGCCCTTTAAAAACTGTTTGTGGGAGTGGGGGTTATTGGTTTGCTTTTCTTCTTGGTTTATTATGTATTTTGTGTTCTCATTTTGCATTTTGATGTTGTGGACTGCCCTGTGATCTTCAAATGAAGGGCAGTATACAAATTGAAGAAACAAACAAAGAGAAATAAATAAGCACAACCAGAAATCTATGCTAAATTTCACATGAATAACTTCAACTCAGTACATAACAACAACTTTTGCTGGATAACAAGTGGGGTCTGCAACAAAATGTGGCTGTGTTGAGTGCTGCTGTTCAGGATTCCAGCAACTCAATTGCACACATCCCTTTCCATTTCTTTGCTACTAGCAATGCATGGTCTCTGAACATATTCAGTCCTCATTGGGCTGTTTTTGGAGTCCCTTTCCTAAAAACAGATTTGTAGCTCTTCAGGGTTTCTTCAGTCCCATTTGTGGAAGTTGTGCCTTTGGCTATATCTGTGTGATCCTGAAACAAAAGGTGAGGAAGAAATTAGGTTCAGCTTGCATACAAATACTAATCTTTCTAATTTGCTCTTCTTACAACAACATGTGAGCTGAAACACAGCTGCTTGTCAAAGTTCGCACTTCCCTGAATTTTGAGGTGCAGTTCTGCAACTGAAGAATTGTTTAAGAATGCATAAAATAGAGGGGACGTGTGCATATATTAGTAAAAAATAAATAAATGCATAAGTGCATTCTATTAGAGCAGGCATAGGCAAACTTGGCCCTCCAGATGTTTTGGGACTACAACTCCCATCATCCCTAGCTAGCAGGACCAGTGGTCAGGGATGATGGGAACTGTAGTCTCAAAACATATGGAGGGCTGAGTTTGCCTATGCCTGTATTAGAGGGAATAATAATAATAATAATAATAAATAATAATAAATTTTATTTATATCCCGCCCTCCCCAGCCGAAGCTGGGCTCAGGGCGGCTAACAACAATCAAAATAATCCGACATTCTAAAACATTCATTATAAAATTACATATATTGGGCAAAATTGCATTGCATTGCATTGCATTGCAAAATTGGCTTATAAAATTACATATATTGGGCAAAATTGCATACAAAAATGTGTAAATCAGGAGAAATGCACAATAAAATGCTGACAAATTCTAATGAGGACAACATGGAAACTGATGAGGAAATGTGGAACTTATTTGGAGAGCTGGTCAAATGAGAAACTGAGAGAAATTGAAATTGACAGAATCGCCCACCCCTGGCGTGGGAAGACTTGGATTGGTAATAGAGGGAATGAGGTCAACTACACATTTTCTAAGTTGACATTATGGTTTTTGGTGTCTACTTAAAAATGAAATGCCAAAAAACAATCTGTTACACCTCACCTTTGCTTTCCACCTGCATTTGACAGCATTTCGTGATCTAGGCACATGTAGGAGTGTTTGCAGAAAACAGGACCTTTATTTCTAGAAGTCTGCTTTAGTAGGGTTGCCATTACATCCAGACATAGCTGGTATTCTGGATATATGGCAGCCCCTGCCGGTAGTGTAGATTTTGGCAATTTTCATTAGCAAAACTACAAAAGCTCAACGACTTTTGTGTCCAGATTTTCACGTTTTGAAATATGGCAACCCTAGCTTTAGAGGAGAAGAGAGATTTAATCCACATAAACAGTTAAGGCTTTTCTGTGAGCCCCGTAGTGACTGTGCAAAGTGCATGGCCTTCTGCCTCAAAACCTTCACTTGTTTCCATGTGGGAAACTCATCATCTAGAGGACTCCCATTTATTTCAATGACACAGGTTTGCTCGAAAGGACATTGAGATAATTTTAGGGCCGGTGCCTCACTTGTGCTTTCGTAACTCATTTTAAACATGTGGAGAAAGAGGCTTTCTGTAAAGCAAAATCAGTGTTGCTTCCCGGAGAGATCATTAGAATAATAGCATCATGAAGCAACAGAGGCAATGAGTTTAGTTTATTACAGCTGCAGTGCAAATGCACGTTTCCAGGAGAGTAAATCCCATGCAACACAGTGGGACTTGCTTCAAAGTAAACAAACAAGCATGGTGTGACACCAGTTGAAGTCATTTTCCATTTAAATCAATGGGAATGATTTCTTCTGGACTAAACTTTGTTAACTAATGCTTCAGATGGTAGGGTTACTGCTAAACATAGCATGCAAAAAGAAAGAAAGATGTAAAGTTATTTACTGGGGAAGGGGGAATAAACAAAACCCAATCACATTTGTTCTGTTTTTTGGCCCTGTTTGATTTTCAGATTGCTGCCGGTGCAACAGAAGTGTCCGTCTTTGGTGCGGCTTCCGAGTCTTTCAGCAAAATGAATATTAACTGCAGCATTAACGAAAGCATGGAAAGATTTGAAGACGTCGTGAAGTCTGCCAGGAAGATGGACATTCCAGTGCGAGGGTAAAATAAAAAATGAAAAAGGCCGTGTTTAACCAAGCTAGCAAATTTGTGAAAGCTGCCTATAAGTTCATGATGTTGAGAAGTTTTTTTTAGAAACAGAAACGGACTGTGGCACGTATGATGGAGGGAACAGAGGAAGGACTCGCTTGCTGTGTTCAATTCAGGAGTGGCCAGCGGGGTGAGGGTGGCGGGTGGCTAGGCCACAGCTGGACTGGCACACAGCTGGTAGAGCCAGATGGGCTTTGCTGGTATGCCTGCACAGTCCTGATCTCACCACCTGTAATCACACCATCCAGATCAGAGGCAGATTTAGGTCCAGTTCACTTGAGCTGAAGGGGCGCTTTTGCCTTTCCGCCTTGTTCCCAGGTAAGCCTAGTAAGCGCTGGGCTTGGAGAAGGAGACTTGAGGGCTCTGACTGGGTCCTAGAGTCCTCCCCGCTCCTTCCCAAAGCCTAGTTGGCACTTGCCCAGCTTTGGGAAAGAGGCGGGAGGGCTCTCTCTCTCTCTGTGTGTGTGTGTGTGTGTGAAATTTTGGCCTTGGAGTCTTATAACCAAGGTTGGGGCCCATCCAGATAAGCCCCTGTAGTGCTGCTGCAGCTGTGGGAGGGGGGGTGTTCTTCCGTGGCACAGCCCCACCACACTGCCTTTCTGGGGTTTAATTCCATAGCCTCAAAAAGTGTGTGTTTAGGACCGTAGCTCCAGTTATTTCACTTTGCCACCCAACCTCTCTATGCAACAAATTCAAGTTACAAGAAAGGAGATTCTGACTAAATATCAGAAAGAGCTTTCTGGCAGTAAGAGCTGTCCGACAGTGGAACTGACTCTCTCAGAAGGTCATGGACCTTGGATGCTTTAGCTGAGATTCCTGCATTGCAGGGGGGTTGGACTAGATGACGCTTGGGGTCCCCTCCAACTCTACAATTCTATGAAATGCCCAAGCTTTGTGTTGCCCCAACAGTATTTTTTTGGAAAATTGTTTCAGATGTGGAAGAGGAAGGGGGGGGTGAGGGCTATTGGCATCCCCTCTTCATTGTGTTTGTAAGCTGTTGCCAATAGGTGGAATAAGTGAAGGGGAAGGGAATGAGGACAGAGGCTTTCATCCTTTTAATTTGTGTTCCGCAGCAACATGAAAAGGAAAAAGCTTTGCCGCTGCTGTCATAAGAAATGCCCGATGGCGTTCCCATTTGCCACGTAACGGCCCATGGGGAGCAATGCAAAAAAAGAAAAAGAAAAAAAGAGCTGCTTTCAGAAATAATTTTAAAGGTTTCAGTTTTGGTTTTCTGTTTTCACTGGCAACCTGATGTGTATGTAGTAAGCGTAAATCAACGGCAGTGGGTGAAATTAATGGAAAATGTACTTGAAAACTTCGCTGAGAACTTAAGCTTCACTCTGTTGTTGTGTTGCTACAGCTGGAGCAGCATTTACTAAATCATCACAGAAAGCGCTCTATGTTGCCCGTTGTCGCACTAAAATATTTAAGTATTTACTGGAAGAATTCAAGGGCTCATTTTAAAAAGAAAGGAAGGAAGCTGGTATGTTCCCTTAGTACTTTTACTGATTAGTTTTCTAATTAAGTAATTATCAAATACCTTTACTAATACCTTAATTCTATTAATTCCACGAATAAATTTTTATGTATACAGACTTCATGATTTTACAGGGTCACCTCCAATGAAGTTGATTAGAAGTAGATTCAAGAAGTAGAGCAGACACTCCCGCAAGGCCCTGGTGAGGGAATTGCGACATCGGCGTCCTGTCCTGGTGGTTTTGCCTACCTCATAACAGTCGTCACAACTGGTTGGGCATTGTGGCAATCCTTGTCTTGGATGGAGTTGAGGTTGTAGTCTCTGCCTGCCCCTCCAAGTGCTGGGGTATCCCATTAAAGGGGTGCGGGGGAGGGTTTGCCATGTCCTCATGCCCAGCTGGGGACCAGGGCTAATGACATTCCCCCAGACTGTGGTCCCTGCAGGGGTCACCCTATTTGATGTAAGTCTTAGGAACCCCCTGCCCAGATTGACCTATGTGTCACTTCTGGCAGGCAGGCCGGTAGTGTTTTGATTGCCCCATGCCCAAGCCAAACCTCTTTCATCTGTATCCAAGATAGTTGTGGCCTGTTTTGATCCAAACCAGTCTCCATGGTATTTTAATTCTCTGGGGCGTTGGGGACTGGGGAGCACAATACCTGGACCTGCAGTGCATATTTAATGGACAGTATTCACTGCAGCAAGAAATGGTGGTGACCAATAGCTTAGATAGCTTAGAAACAGAAACAAGGAAACTGTGGTCCTCAAGATGTTGTTGAGACTACAGTCACATCCAGTTAAAGCACTCTTATATCACTTTAACAGTCATGGCTTTCCCCAAAGAAACTTGGGGAACTGTAGCTCAGTGAGGGGTCTCCAAACAACAAACTACAAACAACAAACTACAATTCCCAGGATTCTTTGGGGGATGTCATGACTGTTAAAGAGACATGATAGTGCTATAAATTTCTGGTGTAGATGTCTGGTCTACAACTTCCATTATCCTTGGCCATTGATTCTGCTGGCTGCGACTGATGGCAACTGGAATCATCTGGAGGAACTGCAGCTGGTTTCTTCCCTTAAAATGAGTTTTAGGAAAATCATAGAAAATAGATCTATCAACAGCTATTGTTTGCCATTGTTATATGGAGCCTCTACATTCAAAGGCATTATGCCTCCATGGTTATACCCATTGCTCAGGAGGAGCAGCAGCAACAACAGGAGATGGCTGTTGCCTTCATGCCCTGCTTCTGATAGCTCAGTTGGTTAGAGTGTGGTGCTAATAACACCAAGGTTGCAGGTTTGATCCCTGCATGGGACAACTTCATATCCCTGCATTGCAGAGGGTTGGGCTAGATGACCCACAGGATCCCTTCCAATTTGACAATTACATGAATGTTCTATGAATGAACTTCCTAAAAAGACACTAATTGGCTATTGTGAGCTGTGATTCAGAGGGGCTGTTCTCAACGTTCTTAACATTTGGGGAACATTCCATCAGATTCTTCTAATAGCATCTATTAGATGACAATAGATGCTATTAGAAGAATCTGATGAGTGTAGCTGCTCCTATTTTACACATTAAATTGCATTTAAGTCTCTCAGTTTGAGATGTTGCTGTTCAAAGGTGTAATTCAGAATGTGCACAAAAACCCAAGTATACTTTTGGATTCATTAAATACCAACCAGGGTCATTCCCCGTAGAAGACTGCATGTTATTGGAGTCAGTCGCTGATGAGTATTATTATTATTATTAGGAAATGTGAATGTAATAAATAGAGAAAAGGTTAAGTAAATATATTGCAGTTAGGCAGGGGCCGGGACGGTGCAGGTGGATAAAATGTTATAGTTTGGTAAATTCAATTGCCTGCTTAGCCAGGAAACTCCCTGGGTGGTCTTGGCAAGTAACTGCATCTCTCTGTCTAATCTGTTTCACTCGCAGCATGATGAAGGGGAAATGGCTTAAGAATTGTAAAGCACAATTTCTGGTTTTTGTAAATACGTTTACTGATTGCTAGGATGCTTTCCATAGCTCCTTGATGGTTCCCACCCCACTCCTTCGGGTTCATGAGATTCACTTCCTGTCTGTTTAGAGTAGAGCACAGAAAAGATGAACAAAGGCTGAAAGAGTTTTTCTAGATAAGATGCCTATAATATGAAAATGGAGCATATTTCAGAGCTCAGGTTTTCCCGGCGAGATAAAGGATGATATTTCTGGGGTGCCTATGACGACTTGCTGGTCTCTGATCCAACCGTCCAGTAGAAAGCCTGCAATAAATCGTCATCATCATCATCATCATCGGAGGACTGCATTCCAGCAGTGGCTGAAGCCAGAGGCAAAAATGGGTGAAGCAACAAATGTAAATTTTACTTTTATGCGGTAGGCTAGTTTCAACACACCCTCACAGCCTTTCTGAATCCTCCACCCAAGCAAACAACAAACTCTAACAGACTGCAGCCAGGCAAAAACACTTGAAGAGGGGTGCCAATGGCCAGGGATGATGGGACTTTTAGTCCAACCAAATCTGGACTCCTGCATGTCCCCCTTCCCTGTTTGAGATGACTGGGCCAAGATTCAGTTCTAAGAGTCTTTTATAATTACATTGACTTTGAAACGCTGCTTTGTAATGCAGGTTCCGATGTCTTTTAAAACCAGCTGGTTCTTGTTGTTAAAAGCAGATACGTAACTGTAGCTGAAGATTTAAGAAATCTGTTCGATATTTTTAATTGCTATTTATCTATCTTGGAATGAACAAGGAAGCCCCTGTGCTCACTGGAACATGAGATTTTCTTGTTGAGTTATTAAGAGTGCAATCCTCTAGGATTTGGATTTGGAAGATCTTGAGGCTTCCCAGCTCAGTTGGGGGAAGCCCCTTAATCCCAACATAGCTGGAGATAGCTCTGCCAATGAAACCTATGCCAGTGAAACCTATACCAGCAGCATAAGTCCTCAAAAGCGATGTGGCATGGAGAGGCAAGAAGAGATACATACCTATTCCAAACTCTCTTTAACTTGACCATGTGACCCAGGGCCAAGACCATGTGACTCAGGCCCACAGCTAGCAGCCCTGCTTGTAACTTGGGATCTAGTTTTAATTTCTATGGTACTTTCTTCTATCTCTGCCATTCTTCATTTTCTTTTGTCTTCCCCACATTTCTTCTTTCTGACAAAACAAAACAAAACAAAACCCTTAAGTAAAAAGAAAACTGTGTTGCCATTAGTGTAACCCACCTTAGGTCAAGATTCACATCCACACCATACATTGGTCATTTAAAATACATTTAAGGCACATGGCTTCTCCCAAAGAATCATGGAAAATGAAGCTGTCTTAGGGTGCTGGGAATTGTAGCTCTGACAAGGGTACACTACAGTTCCCAGGATTCTTTTTGGGGGTGAGCGATGACTTTTAAATGTCCTTTAAATGGATGGTGTGGATGTTAACAAGAATTGATCCACCTGCAGTTCACACCAATGATTTTACTTCATTTACTTACAGTAAAATTCAATTCACGCTCCCCTCATTTCTAGAATTCACTGTGGCATGAAATGGAATGGAATCCAATGAAAATATGTAACATCAAGTCTGCCTAAAGGAAACCAAAGTTATTTGCATCTCTTTGCAACTGTTAGGTATTTTTGGGTCAAATAAATGGTTACTCATAATGGCTACAATCCAGCGCATATTCACCAATGCTTGAAGGCCAATGAAATCCAAAGGATTTAAGAGCCTCTTTAAATATTTTGTTGAAGTCAGTAATATCTCACATTTGTTGCCACTGATTGAAGAGGTAGAGCAAAAAAGCAGTAGGCAGGCTTATTTTTTTTAAAAAAAATCTTAACCACTTATTCATCTAGATAGATTTCAGGATGGTGCACAATAATAATAATGTTAACATAACAATAAAAGCAAAATGTAACCCATCATAAGACATTAGAAACAAAAAAGCAGCATCTTATTGTCAATTGTGATAATAGGATGCTGGACTAGATGGACAATTGGCCCAATACAGCAAGCTTTTCTTGTGTTTTTATGTTCTTATTTCATTATTAATAATGGTAATCTATGAGCTGAGTAGGGACGTGGGTGGCGCTGTGGGTTAAACCACAGAGCCTAGGACTTGCCAATCAGAAGGTTGGCGGTTCGAATCCCCGTGACGGCGTGAGCTCCTGTTGCTCAGTCCCTGCTCCTGCCAACCTAGCAGTTCGAAAGCACGTCAAAGTGCAAGTAGATAAATAGGTACTGCTCCAGCGGGAAGGTAAACGGCGTTTCCATGCACTGCTGTGGTTCGCCAGAAGCGGCTTAGTCATGCTGGCCACATGACCCGGAAGCTGTACACCGGCTCCCTTGGCCGATAAAGCAAGATGAGTGCCGCAACCCCAGAGTCGGCCACGACTGGACCTAATGGTCAGGGTTCCCTTTACCTTTATGTGCTGAGTACTATGTGCAAAGAACAGATTTGAAACGGACTCTTGGCAATCCAATGTCCTTGATTTTGACTTTGATTAGGAGAGTTTGCCTGAGTATTCTAGCCCTTTACAAGTCACATTTCTCTCTTCCCAATTCTCATCATTTTTAGCAACCATTTGGCTGCTTTTTAAAATATGGCTTCCTCCGTGGATACGTCAACTGCTATATTTAAGAATTTGCTTTGGGGATAGATCCCCTGTTCTTCTGACATGAACTTCCAATGCAATTGAATCACCCTGCAATGAACAGTGTAAATTACATGCAAACATGCAATGTAATAATAAACAGGAAGCAGGCAGCATCTGTGTCTATGGCAAGAGTCTCAGAGGGCTCTTTGCATTCAGCTGTGCTAGCAGCTCTCTCTCTCTCTCTCTCTCTCTCTCTCTCTCTCTCTCTCTGTGTGTGTGTGTGTGTGTGTGTGTGGTTTTGTAACCCTCTCTGACAGATTCCTACAAGAGGCTGGCTCCTGTGCAGAGCTGAGTTTCTGCTTGGATTGATTGCACTTTTGCCGAATGCTGATGGTGATAAATTGCACAGCTACCCTCAGCTGCATGCATCCTCCGTACAAGTTCCCCTTCCAAGTCCCACATCACAATAAAAGCATCATTTTCTGTCCCAGTTGTTTCCGAATGAAGAAGACGAGCAACAGCTTCATTTCCCTTCCCTTCAGGGCATCTGAGATCATCCTTTAAAATGCTGAAGACCTTTTCATTTGCCAATTAATGCACAAATTTAGCCGACGCGCACTTTGATACTGGAGAAAGGAGGAAAGGGCTCGCTTGTATTATCAAAGGGAGTTTTATCTAGTTTCATCTCATCCTTTTTACGGAAGGCAAAATGGACACAATTAATACAGATGCTAGCAAGATGTTGTCCAAGATCGTTTGTAAGTTAGCTCTTCATTATGGCCTGCATTTCTACTGTAGTTGAGAAAAGAATGCTATTGGTGCATTATAACACATGCCAGGACTTTCTGTAAGATCCAAAAATAAGTTTTCAATGTGGGGGTGATTTTCCATGTGGGGGAAGGCTGTTCTGATTGCTGCCTTCCATTCTTGTAAACTTGGGATTCTTTCCAACTCTACAATTCTATGATTCTAAAGTGACAAAATATTTTGGCAGACTCAAGATATAACTGTTTATAAAAACTTGTTTTTTTAAAGGATTCTCCTATTGCGTGTTCAGACCTTTAAACCTTTCCCTTAAATAAATTCAGCCAAGACTCAAATTTTGGTTTGGTTTTTGGCAGAATTTAGGCCAGCATGTGAGTGGTTGCATAAGCTCTGGTTCGACTAGCTGCCTGCACCGTTGCAGGTAGCGCTGACCTAGGGCAGCAGCATAGGTCAGCCTAGGGTGAACACCGGGATAGGTGGAAAGCCAGGAACAGTCTATGTCCACTCCCCAGATGTCCCCCTGGACTCAGGCACAGGCACAACCCCCTCACAGGGTTGACCAAACCATTGAGTCCCTGGATTCCTTTAACAGAATACCCTTCACATAGGGATGGCGAGAGTAGTCCTCCATCCCTATCACCTGAACCAGAGCCTATCTGCAACCTTACAAGTTGTGACGATTTGCTACATGGCAGGGGAAACCCAAATGGCAACAGCCAATCAGCCAAGTGGGGAAAATTCCTGCCATGCCCCTGTCCCAGACAACACACGATGGCATAGCAAGGTCAAGCGCAAAGCCCTAAAAGTAGGGAGAGGTGGGCGGGTGTTCCAATGCACGCACCAAAAGAGGAAGCTCTGGGTCATGTGCATAGGTATATATAGGTCCCTTGATCCGCTTAGCCTGCGTCCCATTGGCCTGATTAAACCCAGCATCAAGGGACCTACCAATTGGGTGTTGTGGCTATCCAATCATCCCCACCCACAACACAGGGTTTGGTTGCCAGGTCTCACTGCAACACATGCCCTCTTTAAGTAAGGGAGGACCCAATTTCTTCCTGGCTTAATTGTTCATCCTAGTATTTGAATTTCTGGTGGGGCACCGATGTGTGCATATTACCAATGCGTCTGTATTCTTTTTTCGTTTAGGTATGTGTCTTGTGCGTTGGGGTGCCCTTACGAAGGAAATATTGAGCCAGCGAAAGTTGCGGAAGTAAGCCACTTAAAAACAAAAACAAACAGCCCAGAAATCTTTACTTCCCTGGGGATCTGTTTTCTTGTGAAGGGAAAGCACTGGTGACTTGAGGGCTTTTTATTTGCACAGGTTTTTCTTATTCTCATTTTTGTATGATTTTATGGGATTATATAGAGAACAGACAGACAAAATAAAAATCCAACATAAAATATCCCCATATCAAAACAGGAGAACTCGGAGCATTAGGAGAAATAATGCCCATTGAGCATGGAATAGGAATCTCCACAGTTCTAATCTGTAAAATAATAATAATAATAATAATAATAATAATAATAATAATAATAATAATAATATATTTATACCCCGCCCTTCCCGGCCAGAGCCAGGCTCAGGGCGGCTAACACAAGTAAAATTACAGTAAAAACATAATGGGGAAAAAACACAATTTAAAATACAGGTAAAAATGCAATTTAAAATGCAGCCTCATTTTAAAAGTAGCCCATAGATCAAAACCATAAGGGTAGGGAAACATAAGGGTCAGACTAAGTCCAAACCAAAGGCCAGGTGGAAATAGCATCAGTTTCTCACATCACAGTGAAAAGCAGACCTCTCACCACCTTTACACCCCAGCTGCACATTCAGTTCTCTGCATCTCCTCCTGCATTGCAGTTCTTAATTGTCTCTCTCCTGCCCATGCATGCAGACTGTGTCATAGCTAGTGGCCACCAGCATTTTGTGGTCATTAGAACTATAGAATAACCACCACCTTTGGCTAACCAACTGATCGAGGAAGCAGTCAGGTTACACAATAGATTTTAAATTCTTCACTTGATAGCATTACTCATACCTGCAGCATGTGCTATGAAACACTTCTGCACAACCCAAGACTTCAGATCAAAGTTGAAAATTTCTAAAAAACTGTTGGCCTATTTTGGGTGTGTGTACATGTTGTTGGCTCATCACTTGATAACTGTAGCATCAAGTGATGGCTTACATGTGTAAAAACACCATTGGAACTTGGAGTTACCTCATGACAGAGTTTTCATCTCACCTGGCATCCACCTTAATGCAATACTTCTCAGTACCTCTCACAGCGCTGTCAAATGATGTACCTCAATATTTAAATCAGCCCATCCGCGTCCCTTAGAGAAGTCTACTGTAGAGCAATTGGTATGCTTGTGAAGCACAATACTTGAATGGTCTAGGTGGAGTACAACAATTACAACACAGTATTAGAAAAGGTAGGGACGCGGCTGGCGCTGTGGGTTAAACCACAAGCCTAGGACTTGCCAATCAGAAGGTTGGCGGTTCGAATCCCCGCAAAGGGTGAGCTCCCATTGCTCGGTCCCAGCTCCTGCCAACCTAGCAGTTCGAAAGCACGTCAAAGTGCAAGTAGATAAATAGGTACCACTCCTGCGGGAAGGTAAACGGCGTTTCCGTGCACTGCTCTGGTTCGCCAGAAGTGGCTTAGTCATGCTGGCCACATGACCCAGAAGCTGTACGCCGGCTCCCTCGGCCAATAAAGCGAGATGAGCGCCGCAACCCCAGAGTCAGTCACGACTGGACCTAATGGTCAGGGGTCCCTTTACCTTTACCTTTTAAGATAGGAAAAATGTGGCTAACCAGGAAATAATAATAATAATAATAATAATAATAATAATAATAATCAGCTCCAAGCCACGTTGCAAAAATCCAGGAACAATGTTTTCTTTTTCTCTGTTATTGCCATTACAGTGCTAGAGTTTGTTTCCACTTATGGTAGTTTCCCCCCTCAAAAATCTTCCATTTTATCCTGCCTCTTAGCCCTGAGTATCTGTTTACATGGAGTTTATCACGGTACTTCTCCCAGAGCAGATACAACTTTCATTTATTAAGAATAGCAATTTTCTGATTCAGTTGGTTTTCCCGTCAAGCTGCGTGTGACATATGTTTAGATATATTGATGGTGACAGGTTTAGCTGTGCTGTTCCCATATTTCCTATTGCAAAACCATATTGGAGTCTGTTCTCCAAAAGACCTTGATATGATGCTCAGGCCAAGTTCCTGCACCCCCCACCCCCTTGTCAATAAAGCCCCTTTCAGCATTTCAGCAGGAATGCAACTCTTCATTTTGATTCCACAAATATCCTCTGTTTTTCTATCTAAGGCCTTCTTCTACAGAAGATTTCTCAGAGTTTGTCCTCATTATCATCATTATGAGTTGCTTTTGGGAGCGCCTTAATTTTGAAAAGTGGCATACAAGTTGCATAACAATAAATAGTATAATAATAAATAATACTACTAGTAGGCCTTGGAAAGTTATGAACAATCTCCCCCTTCCCGAGATTCAGCAGAAATTGTATACAGTATGCCTGATTTTCCCGGGTAAGTCATGGAAGAGTTATGCCAAACTAAAAGAAATAGCCATGGGGTTCACATCCTCTTTGCAGACTTTTAAATCTTGCTTGTGTCATTTATCTTCTGGCCTTTAGATTAAGCATATAATCATGTGGGACACCAGGGACTAGCAGCTTTGCACCCTGTCGACTTTTATCACACTCATCCCACCAGCAAAAGCCATTATTATCATTGGTATTTTACCAATTTAGCACTTGTCATCCATCTGTAGCTGTTTCGTGTGTCTCGTCTGTACTTGGGGACAACAGTGCAGTTGGCAATAAAGTGCAATAGGAAAAACTGTAGGACATCTGTTGAATCAAAAGTATGTGGCAAAAGCGTTATACACTGCAAATTCCAAGTGACATTATATCGCCTGTTAAGAAATATATAGGTGTTTTCAGTGTCCAGGAAGAAAGGGGTAGGTTCAGGGAATGCATGATTCCACAGCCTGCTCTTGAATGCTTAAGAATTGCGGGGTCTACACCAGCTCTCTATAGTTAATAGCTGGCTCCGCATTGTAAAATTTCTAAAAGCTGAATGGTATATTATGTCCTGGAGGACACTGTATATTTTTAGTGGGCTTTTCTCCTGTGCTTGTATGCTGGACCCAGGTGGGATTAGGAGGCAGGCCTGAATGCAGAGAGAAAACCCCAGTCCTGCTGCTTTGAGCTGAACAGCAGGAGTGAAAATTGGATCGCTTCCAGGAACACCACTGGTTAAAAGCTCCTGATAGGTGACTGCACTCTTGCTTTCAAGCGCTAGACGATGCTCATGCCACCTGGGCCTAGGATGCCAGCACAGAGAAATACCTTTCAGGTGCGTCCAATGCACCCTTCATTCTACATTTGCCTCCCTGAGTTTTTCTGTAAATACATATTACTTTTCAGATTCCCAAACACACATAGGCAGAAAGGGGTGGGGTGGGGAGATAGTGCATGTAATCCATCTGCAACAGAAAATCTCTTTGACTTCCATGGAAGTATTAAGCAGGCAAATAAATGCCAGGTGTTTGTTTCACTGTGAATTTGTTTAATTCATTGAAAACACCTGGCACTCTTAAGTTAATGTTCAACAAAAGAACTTAATTCTGAAAAGCTTGAAAATCAGAAAAAGAATACAGCCCTGTGCAGAGAGGCATAATCTGAAAAATCCCAGAGCAGAAGATGTTCTAGAACAGCCTTCCCTAACCTGGTGCCCTCCTTGTAGTTTCTGAACTACAACTCCCATCAGCCCTAGCCGGAATGGGTAATAGTCAGGGATGAAGGGAACTGTAGTCCAATAACATCCAGAGGTCACCAGGCTGGGGAAGGCTGTTCTAGAAAGGATAGTAAAGGACCACCTGTTGAAAACAGGCCCCCTCAGGATTAATGCGGGAAAACACAAAAAGGAGATGACTAGGATCCTAGTGTTAGTCTTTTCTGTTCCTCAGAAATTATTCATTGGTAAAAGTCACTTGAAACTGCTTTCTCCTTTCCCTATTCTTCTTTTGCTTACGTTTGGTTCTCCTACCATTCCCTCCCCAGGTCTCCAAACGGCTATACAGCATGGGTTGCTATGAGATATCCCTTGGAGACACCATAGGCGTGGGGACCCCTGGCAGCATGAAGCGCATGCTGGAATCTGTTATGATGGAGCTCCCCGTGGCGGCAATTGCAGTGCATTGCCATGACACGTACGGCCAGGCTTTAGCCAATATCCTCACAGCGATGCAGGTAAGGTCCAGTCTCTGGTCTCATCCAAATACAGTTTTCTCGGCGCTAGCCTCATTCATCCTTGAATTTACGTAGGTTCCAGAAAGGAGAGGAAGAGCAAGCACGGGCATATGCAAAGTTCCTCACTCCGTTTTAGCAGGAGTGAGCAGCTTCTCTGGGACTAAGGTTTGGTTTGCACAAGTTCCTGAGCAGAATGGGAGCCTCTTGGGCATTGCTGTTCCCATGCTAGGGAGATGCTCATTGGAAGACCGTGTGCTTCAAATGCTCCCAGATTCAATCCCAGGTAGAGAATCAGGTAGCAGTTGATGGGAAAGAGTTCTGCCTTGGATCCTGGATAGTGGCTGCTGTCAGTCGGTGTTAGAGTTGGACTATTGGTCCATCTAGCTTGGTGCTATCTCCACTGACTGCTAATGACTTTTCAGGTTTGCAGACAAACTATCTCCTTGCCCTACCTGGAGATGCAGGGTGTTGAATCTGGATCTTCTGCATGTATCACAGATGCTCTGCCACTGTACTAGGCTGGGTGCCCCTGTACTCACTGTAAAGCTATTTTAAATGCTCATAAGCCACCGTATTGCTGCCCCACCCATGTGATCAGTTTCCCCCCAAGGTTACCTAGATAGGCAGGTAGCTGTAGCTGCCTGCAGTGACTCTCTCACTGCTGATGTTAATGTATGATCTGGGTCGGGTCCAGGCCAGGTGTAAGTCATGAGCTGAGGATCACATGCTATAGCTTAAAGCGAGTCACACATTTCTGCACTGCATCCATCTGCGGGTGGCTGTCATTGATGGGCACGCTTTACATATTTGTCCACAATCTTCTCCGAAAACAAGGAGTTCAGTTGCACATGTAGAAAAATATATAACGGGAAAAGATCGCAAACGTGGACAGAAATGGATAGAACACCATGGGCCGGTGCAAAATCAAAATATAGCAACCTGTGAATTATTATGCACACGATATGGACTTTTTTATTTGTTTATGACTTTCTGTGTATTTCTTCACTTTATACCCTACCAAGCATCTTGCACCCAAACATTGCAAATGAATCTGTAGCCGAGTTGGCTGCAGTCTAGTGGCTTGGATGCTCTGCGTGGGATTGATTGTACTGTTTGACTCTTTACAGTTCAAGAGTAACTGCAACAAATATAGAAGTTTCTTCAGTACCACTCTGCATCATATTATAATATATTGCTACTTTAAGTGCTATTTCCAAGGGTTTAGGAAAAGTGGAAATTGGAAATGTCCTCAGGAAAATATTTTTTTCTGGTCCCAGCTGGTGACTACTGAATTGTCGTATTGAAAACCTGCTGCATGATGAATTGCCCGAGCTTTACCATATGAAAACGCACTAATATATTAGACATGCTTTCTTTTAGGCAGAGTGCTGTTAAATTATAATTCCAAATGAAACGATGGGGATGTGGGTTTTATTCTGACATTTGCTACTGACTGCAACAGTCAGAGTCCGACGCTAACTAGTTTCAAAGTGCACATTTGTGGTGCCTCTTAACTTAGAAAGACAGGAATTAATCTGCATGTGGATAAAGGAGACTTAAAAACAAAAAAACCCAAAGCCTGTAGAATTCATTAACTGGGATACTCCAAGCATTTTCCCTAACAGAACCGCTTTTCTTTCTGAAGATCTTAGCTCTGTTCTATAATTTTTCATAGCAACATGTTAAAAAAAAATGCAGGATATTGTAGCCCTCTTAAGATGTTCATGAACACATGAGGGGAGAGGTATATAGTGGAGCAGGGGACATATGTCAACACTGCCCTCTCCAGTGCCAGTCTTGGCATGTTCAGCACAGAAATCTGAAGGGAACTGGCTGAATATGCTTAGCAGTCTTCCTGCAACTGGGACATTGAACCTGAGACCTTTTGCATCCCAAGGACGTGCTGTACCACTGAGCTGCAGCCCTTCCCACAAAGACTGAAGTGTGGCTGAAGTGTGTTCAGCCATGTGTGCTTAGAAGACCTTCCAGCTCAATGTGGAAAGGTCAAGGTGGAGTGGATTCCTCCAACACACCCAGAAGTATAGGGGGTCAAGGGCTGGCACATACTCCCCCTCTCACATGTACAGGCTGAATTCCCGAAGAGGTCTTATGTGTGTTGTTTTCTGGCAGTGTGACTGCAGTACTGTTGATGAACAACTATGAAAGGCAATTTGCATCGTGTTATCTATGGCCGAGCCAAAATGTGGCAGTGGGGAATCCTAGATGCCCATTTATTGAGCTGCAATGTCTAAATTGTGAGGGAATGGAACCTTCCAGAATACCTGTCCTAAACAGCCTAGCTTTGGAGATTGAGGTGGATGGGTAGGGAGAGAGATAGATGATAGATAGATTAGATAGATAGATAGATGGTAGATAGATAGATGATAGATGATAGATAGATAGATAGATATAGATAGATGATAGATGATAGATGATAGATGATAGATGATAGATGATAGATGATAGATAGATATATGAGATTAACTGTGAGGCAATCCAAAAACTGACCTTGAAAACAGGAGTTGTGTATAGTAAAGGAAGCTGCGGACCAGTAGAAAACTGAGTGGATGATGCTCCTACAAAATAGGAGTCAAGCGGGAAAGTCCCCAGAGGCAAGATAGCTATAAATAGAAGAATGAGAATGCAGTAATCTAAGAAATGAAACCTGAAAGAGGATAAGCAGGACTGGGAGAGACCAGAAAAGACTGAGAGAAAGGAAGAGAAGAATGAGCTGGCCCCAACCTACGGTAAGTATTATTTACACTTTCCTGCATCCCTTGAATTGGACCAATAGATTATGCTGCCTGGATATTGCCTTTGAGCTTCTATATTGAAATGTTGCTTCATTTTAAGATACTGCTTACTTTCAGCTACTGCTGTAGCTAATTCAGTGGCTGGGAATAAAACACATTTCTCAATTAGCACAGAGAAAAAGTTCATTTGTACTAGCAGTGAGTGGGATGGGGGAGATGAGGCTAAATTGTAGGTGGCGCCAGAGGATATTTATGAACCAGAAGTTCCAGGTTCCTTGATCCCTGTTGGCATTGCCTCTAGGCAGGCAGGGCCAACAGGGAATGGCAGCAGGAGGAAAGGATGAGCACCAGAATAAATCAGGGAACCTTGAAATCCCAAGGACAGTGGGAGCCAGTGCTGCTGATTGAATTTACAGGCCCCTGAACACATGTCAGTAAATGAATGAGCCCTTTGGTCCCTGGAGCGCATAGATATGGGAACTGACAGCAGATTCCCAGGGACAGGGAGCATCACTGAAAGGCCATTTGTCATGTGTGTATAATATACATAGGTATATACATAGATGGATACATACCGTATTGCTGGGACTAGGAATACAATGTGGGTACCTAGAAATGCAGGGAACCTAAAGAAAATGGGAAAAAGTGGAAGGGTAAAAGTCAGTCTTCCACTTTTTCAAAACAGGATTGTAGGAGGTGGGGCACAATACAACTTTGCACTTGGCCTGACAAAATTATACTTTCTCTGGAGTTGAACAATGCACGCTTCTGAAAAGCTAGAGTAAACAGCTTTTCCCTCCCTCCCTCCCTCCCTCCCTCCCTCCCTCCCTCCCTCTCTCCCTTCCTTCCTTCCTTTCATTGGAGAGGTGAAATGGTAGACAAAAAAGGGTTGTGAGTTCTCTGAAAAGTCTTTTTCTTACCCACCCCTTTAAAAGGGGCTCCCTTAGTCCTTTTACCCACTTAGACGCGGGTGGCGCTGTGGGTAAAAGCCTCAGCGCCTAGGGCTTGCCGATCGAAAGGTCGGCGGTTCGAATCCCCGCGGCAGGGTGCGCTCCTGTTGTTCGGTCCCAGCGCCTGCCAACCTAGCAGTTCGAAAGCACCCCCGGGTGCAAGTAGATAAATAGGGACCGCTTACTAGCGGGAAGGTAAACGGCGTTTCCGTGTGCGGCTCTGGCTCGCCAGAGCAGCGATGTCACGCTGGCCACGTGACCCGGAAGTGTCTGCGGACAGCGCTGGCCCCTGGCCTCTTGAGTGAGAAGGGCGCACAACCCTAGAGTCTGTCAAGACTGGCCCATATGGGCAGGGGTACCTTTACCTTTACCTATGTGTTTGCCTGCAATGTACCTGCATAAGCTCTAAGCTTTGAGTAGGGTATGTATACAGTCGGGCTTTACATGTCTGTAAAAATTGTTGACCCCTGCCTGAGTAAATTTAACATCTTTATTTAGCAGGAGAAATAAACTAGCATGACAATGAGAAGTATAAAGACAATTCCTGTAAAGACAATTCCTGGATGAATGAAAGCAGAGCAACATTCTGTCTCCTATTATTTAGCGAACTGTAGGCTGTAATATTCTTGCACCAGTTCTCTAGATTGTTGCTGTCTTCTTCTGCTCAGCATGTCTGTGCCCGCTATTTTGTTTTCTGTTCTGGCAGCGATAGTACTCAGCCTCCAACCCTCCCCCCCTCAAATAACAATACTTTGATGGTATTTGCTGAGGGAAACTTTCCATCATTCAGTTGTGCCCTACTCCAAATGCTATTGGACGAAGTCACTGAATCTGCATAAGAAACTACCTAAGAGGTTTTATAAGGGTTGTTCTAACGAAAGAGTAAGTAGTGAAAGATGGCTGGCTGCTTAGCCAAAACATTCAAAGGTTAAGATTACAGTGCTCAAGCCATTTACCCTGAAGAGGCATTGCTAAAATAAAAATAAAAAGATTTCTCCAGAGTAAGTAGTTTGAAGCCTGATCTAATTGTTGATGCCACTGAAAGGAATAAATGCCAGGCATCAAATTGGGATATGATGTCTTTCTAAATAGTGTGTTTTTGGTGCAAATGAAAAAAGCATATGAAGGAATGTTTCAAAACAATAAGATTTTAAACAGAAGTATGGCTAAGTCTTTGCTTGGTGGCTGAAACTTGGCTGAACCCAGAAACTGGGATATTAAAATATCAGACTATAGAATTTATAGAAGTGACAAAGTCAGCAAGAAGGAGGAGGCGTGGCTGGCTGTTTGAGTAAAA